ATATATGTATGTATGTATGTATTTATGTATTTATGTATTTATTCCACCATAATACATATCATGTTCCGTCTTTTGAGGTATCCTCACTACCAACCATATCCTTATAGAGTCAACTAAGACGAAGGTTGAAAAAGACTATGGTTCAATATAAAATCTACCTTAGCCCTCTTCAAAACCCGAGGATGAGGCAAAGGATATTGATGCAGGCAAAAGATGATAATATTTGGATTTTTTTTTTGTAGGATTCTATGTATAGGGATTTAGGACTTGCTAATTTTAGTATTTTTAGGTATAGATTATTTTGGTTTTTGAAGTCATAGATTATGTTTTTCTTTGGATTTCTATTTATATTTATTTTATTATATGTTGTCTTCATTTAGAAGGAATATGATAGGACTAGATGGTGGGGATTGAAAGGGAACTGATGGCTAGGGTTTTGAAGGAAATTTAGGGTTTTTAGGTTTCAAAGTTATTTAAATAGTGATGCTAGGGAGTTGATAGGAGGCTTGGATCCTTTAATATTGCTATTAATTTCTTATGTGAAAAGAAGCTTGTGATGCTTCTTTTGCATTGAATTCCTTCTCTAACAAATTTGTACAGAATTTTGCGTTTGTTGGTTTGATTCCTCGCATGCTTTGATATTTTAGGAATAAAATATCAAGGCTTGCATCAGAACATAAGTAATCAAATGAAGATACATAAAATCCAAAATTGCAGACTAAATTATCTAAATAATGACAGCAACCTCCATGCTCATCCAGTGCCATACTGTCATTGAAATATATCAATATTAGATTAAGAAAGAAACTTTTCCGATATGCAATGCACAGAAAGAGAATCACCAACCTCCTTGATGGAAGGCTTTGTTTTACAGAAAGATAGTGTTTCCAATACCCTGTAGTGGACTTATGAGTTGCCTTTTTTGGTCCACCATAGTAGGCCCTAACAACAAATTCTTCATTTCTGCTTCTGCAAACCATATCAAATTTTAAAGCATCAGGTGGAGACCAATAGACAAAAGGTCAAAAGAAGAGAAAAACACGAGGAACTTGACCATCCCATGTAAGCCAGACTATGGCTCCAGAAGGATCACAGGTTGTTAAAAGTCTCAAACAACCAAATGTGCTCATCATAAGAAATGTTAAACATACGTGCCATCAAAATTTGATAACCACTTCAAATAGGCAGCACCAAGATACACACTTATGAAAGGCCTGAAAAGCAGATTTGGTTTTCCTTCCATTTCAAATGCCCTATACCCAAGTTCCCTGAAAGAAAATTCCAAATATAATTTCCAAGCATTAGAAATAGTGCAATTTAAGTTCTTTGCATTCTAAGAGAAGACTTAAGAATCTCATTCGGTCAGTCATACCTAAACAACCATTCAGCAGTTGGTTGCAGCATTTGCATAATTCCCACACTAGCTTCTCGTGATTTTGGATCATACCTTTGTGCAAGGGGTTGCCTGTTGCTTTCAATTTCAGCAATTGCACAAATCATTTCCTGCAATAAAATAAAAGCTAAGAACGGAGCTCCACCGGCCCAAAATGCAGTAAAAGGCTTCTTCAGCAAATTAAAAGCATGTGTAAATGCAAAAACAAATGGTGCCGGAAGTTTTGACTCCATCCAGTCATAAAAATCAGTGTACATCTCTAAACACCATGAGCACATTGCAAAATAATGAAAGCAAACCCACAAGACCAAGAAGGGATTATCAATTGTCCATTTTCAAAGTCAAGGTCATAGATCTACTAGAGCAGTCCATAATCCAACATGCACATCATTTGGGGACTTCGATATGGAAGAGCTAGTAGTCTATGTAAGGAGAACCAACCCACTCTCAAAATGAGAGGGGGTGCCTGATTTCATTTATATATCTATGTGTGTTTATTTGTGTGTGTCTTCATATAGTTATCCGACTTGCCTATGAAGGTAGCGATTCCATTTCGGAATCTTGATTCGATGTTCCCCGAGCGAAAGTCGATTCTAAAAGAAAGGAATCACGTTTTCATTTTTTCCGGAACGCAATTCCACTCAATTTAGGAATCTCGTGTAGCTAAGAATCATAAAGTCCTCGATATGGAATCTTGATTCCACTCAATTTAGGAATCTCGATTCCTGGATTGCAGGAATCAAGATTCCATATCGAGGACTTTATGATTCTTAGCTACACAAGAATGCGATTTTTCTTGTGAGAAACATTGATTCCAAATTTTTTTGAAGTGCGAATCCATGTTGTTTGGAATCAAGTTTCTATATCGCAGCCATCGTGATTCCTTGCTACACAACAATGCGATTCTACTTATGCTAGATGTTGATTCTACTTATGTTAAATGTTGATTCAAAGTATTAAGAAATTGTGAATCATGTTGTGAGGAAGCAATGTGAGCATAGGAAGAGCAGAAACCCTTCGATGTGTGCTCAATCATGAGTGAGAGCGACATGTATGAGAGCGTGAGAGAATTTGAAGTTGTTGCACACGGCAATAAAATCAAAATTTAAAATATGGGTAATATGTGAGCTAGTCTCCAACACATCAAAGTCATGCAGATGTGTTCAAAATATACAAAATCTTTACCACAGAATATAAAACAGTGTTATTTGATATAAACTAATATGAACCTCAGTTCTTGAAATTCAAACTCAGGGCTTCTCCATAATGGGCAGTAAGCTCTCAAAATTTTATTATGTAAATCTATTATTCAATATAAAATAACATTTGTATTGATGTATGTTGCCGTATTTGGTTTTCTGGATGAAGGCCTAGACAATCTAAACACATATTGAACATCAACACAATGTTAGTGTCCATATAACACTGGATAACATAACTTAGATAACAAAATCCCAGTTGACTTCTAGATTTTAGTTGCCGTTTGGGTGGCTTGAAGTCTTAAGAAAGTGAGCAAAAAATTACCTGGTTGAGGCCCAGCTTGGCTTGGCCAAAAATGCCTTCACTGGTTATGAGACGTGCAAGAAGGCCCCCACTACTTGCATTTGTAATTCCATAAGGGTTACTACAATAGCAATAGCCCTAATAGGACCCAACAGAACTTAATCCAATTATCTAATAAAGTTCAACAGCTTTGACCATGACTTTATATGCAGTTTTTTATTTCTAGTGATAGCTATGTTTGTCCATGAAAGATGCACATCTATGAAGGCCAAAATCGAGCAAAACAATTAAATTTAAATAAATATCAGTTGTGTATCATATAGAGAGAGTATTGAACACAAATAGAAGTTCACCCTTTGACAGAGAGTAAAAATTGCACCAGATTACCAACTAAACATCTGCAAGATCCACGATGTTCCAATCAGATTCAAACAATCAAAGGAATAGTCCAGCAAAGAAGTCTCATTTGCAGAAGACTGTTTCTTTCTTGAATAGTATTTTCTATTTTTTTCTTGAGGAAATTGTACCAGGAGACATCAAAAGAAAAGAATGCCATGACATCAAAAGACAACTATGCTATTCAACCAAAAAAAATCAAATATGATGCTAACTTTAAGGTACCGTATCTAACTCTGATTTGAAGTACCTATGAACAGTTATCTCTGCCACAGCCTGAAAGCAAATACATGTAAATATAAGTCAAATATGCTAATAGAATAAAAGAAGTAGCAGTATACTGATAAATACAAGTTACAAGGTAAATTGCAAAACTATTTTGTAATGAACTTATGAACTACTCAAAAGTGAGGACATAAGGATCATGCTTATTGAACAAGTGATGAGTTCCCTTTCAGACTACAACAATATGAAGACAGAGGTTCAGGGATAAAAGACCTAAAGTAACCCTCAAAAGAAAATGACAGAAAGTGGACAATGTTACTGCTGATACTACAGTACATCAATTGGATTAAGATGATAGACATAAGATTGTAAGATCATCCTTCAAAAAAATATAGAAAGGCCAAGAAGTGATATCTTTATCTAGGAGTAAATAGTACAAGACTACAAACCCCAGATTCCAGATATACACAATTTCAATATTCATTGGACACATAGGGAGAAGTTAGGATAAGTGGAAAGCAAATCCCATGAGAAGATTAAGCATCTCAACATAGTTCATCAGATCAAAAATATCAGATAAAGCACTCCAGAGACCACGACGGCCACTGGCAATAAAAGAGATCAAGGAAAACTAACAGATAAGCAAGTTGAAAAGTAGAACCCATTTTGAAAGTAGCTCATTAAGTTTCAAAACATCACTCAATATTCTACTGTGGGGCAGGATTACCTCATAGCCATTTTGTTCCTACTTGTCATCTGCAGATGAGGCATAAAGCTGTACAAAATAAAGAGGCATACTTCCTGTGCATTTTTCTCTCATCACTATCATCATCAAAGTCTTTTCCCAACTATCTACTTCTCTCTCAATGGTGCAATATAAGAGTATATAATGAATGATATTTGGCAGTTTCATGGAGAAGGCTCAAGTCATTCAATAACTACTACATTACACTGACTCTATTGATCTACTAAAGTCAACAATAAGGTGGGAAAAGTTACTTGTGTAACGAAAAAAAGGCAAGGAAAAAGACGCCCCTGCAGTCCAATACATCATAATTGTTGACAATCTCCCTGATGTTTGAGGTGCAAGTCCAGCACAACCAACTATCCGACCTGAATCCAGAATCAATCTCTTCTATTCTCTGTTATAACAGAGTCAAATGCTCCCTCCCTTCCTCATTCCTTAAAAGTTGTGATATACATCTCAAGTTACTTTAGGGTTATTTTCAGTTATTTTTAATTGTTTTTGTTTGTGGACCAGTGGCACTTTCTAGTAATTTTATTCATAGTTAAGTCATTTATTTTGAAAGCCACTTAAGTTAGAACTTTTGAATCAATTTATTATTTGTATAGACACATAAATAAAATAAAAATAGTGGTGCATGGGGCCTAGGAGACACATTTACATGATTTTCCAAGAAACAAATAGAGAAAAAGAGATTTCTTTTGAAGAGCTAGTTAGTGTTTGAAGAAGAAACATTAGGTTCTTAGTTTTTTGTTGCTTGTGCTTGAACTGAAGCTTGCTGACTTTACTATTTTCTTCAAATTTCCTACATCATTTTGGTATCAGAGCTCAGGTTCCTTCAATAACAAGGCCATGGAATTAAAACCAAGTTTAAGGTCTGCTGATATAGGGCAACGGTTTGCCAAATTCAGCCTAGATGTTGCTGATTTCAGTTAGTTTTAGTTGATTATATGCCTAGGGTTTGTGATTTCGATGAGCGCATGGATGCGAGAAAGGGCCATGGAAGGGGGGATTTTTGTAAACCCACTTCATGATCCCAGAGATGAGATTGAAGACATCAAAAGGTAAATTCAGCAGCTTATGCAGCATTGCGACAGTATTAGTCATGGGCAAGGTGATGATCTTTTGGCCCAAGAAGATCTTGAATACAACCGTTTTCACCATCACGTTCCGTGTATGGAGTCAAGTAATGAGGGCAGCGAAAGAAGGCCTAGACATAGGGTGCATTACTTTAGGGATGCCGATTTGAAGATAGATATAACTGATTTTGATGGCAAACCTCAACTTGCAGAGTTTATAGATTGGTTCAATAATGTAGAAAAGGTTTTTGATCATAAGGATGTTCCTGAAAATAAAAAAGTAAAAATTATTGCCATAAAATTGAAGAAAGGTGTCTGGGCATAGTGAGAACCACTTAGAGCTAAAAGGTGAAGAACAAGAACACCAAAATTAATACTTGGGAGAAGATGAAAAAGAAATTAAAAGAAAAATATCTGCTTGAAAATTATCTGCAATCCCTTTATCATAGGATGAATAATCTTCATCATGAGAAAATAGTTTAGAAGAATGCACCAATGAAATTCAGCAATAAATGATGTGGTAGTGCTACAATGATATTGGACTTTAGATAAAGCTTACAACCTTGCGGTTGAGGTTGAGGCTCAGCAAAGGCACCCATCATCAATGTGGGGCATAGCCCAGGGTAGTAGAAGTGGCTGTGGAAATGAATTTCAAGGTAAAGGTGGGAATTTGGTGGCTGGACAGAACTCATGGCCTGCTGGATCCTCCAAACAGCAGGATATTGTGGGTGTTGGAGCCAAATCTAGTCACCCAAATCGCCCAAACAACAACAGTATTAAGTGCTTTAAGTGTTTGAGAATCAAACGCATCTCTTCTCAGTTCCCAAATAGAAAATATGTGAACCTTGCTGACGAGTTTCTTGAAGAGGACAGCAAGCTGTCATGAAGACCTCATTTATGATGAGGAACTTCAGGAAGAAGACCAGCAGTGACATTTACTGACAATACGGAAGCTTAGGTGATCCGGCACAACACGATTACACCCTTAGTAGTAGATAACGCAGATTGGTTAAGCACTAATATTTTTCACACTCGATGCACTGCCTATGGAATGTTTGCAATTTATCATTGACAAGGGCAATTGTGAGAATATGGTTTCTCAAGAGATGGTAACAACTTGAAGATAGAATACTACCCAAGGCCATACAAGATAGATTGGTTCAAGAAAGGAGATGAGGCAACAGTTTCTATATGCTAAATTGTATCTTTTTTTTATTAGAAAGCACTATAAAGATGATATACTGATGCAGAAAAGTGGAAGGAATAGTAAAAATTAGCAATAATAGAGAAAAAGCATGGATGTAAATCAAGCCAATAGAATAACTTTCTTAAATTCTTTCCAATAACATAATCATCCCATAATGTGAGATACCACCTTTTATAAGCCTATGAAACCTTAAAATTAACTTAAGATCTAAGTAAAGAATTTAAGACTCAAAGATATCCCTAGAATTTAAGACTCAAAGAAAGCCCTAGACAATTTTAAATATTCTAAATATACCCCCGTGAACAATAACCCATGAACAGTATTGTGAATGGTAACCCATGAAAGTTCTGTTAATAGTACTCATGAAAAATAAAAAATAAAAAAATAAAAAAAATAGAAACTAAGTGTTGGATATTAACCCCACATTATAATTCCGAAAGAATTAACCCTAATAGAAAAATAAAACATACACACACATCCATCAAATTAAAAATAAAAAATAAATTAAAATTTCGAATTACCAAGCTCTTGATCTCCATCATTTTCCCTTGGTTGAAGAAAACTCACCCTTGAGTTTCAAAATAAGCTAATGTGAATCCTCGTCTAGACACAAGGTCTCTCTCAACCCATATTGAGACTGATCAAAATATCCTAAAAAATATCCTCAAACACGTTGCTGAGGATTTTGGTGCATCCTATTATAATAGTGGTTGCCAAGAAATGTGTCAAGAAAGTGTTTTTTTTTGTTTTTTGTTTAATGATATTATGACTCCTTAGGCTGAGAAATAAACCAGAGAGCAAACTCAAATCCACCCTTAAATTACATATCATGGAAATAAAAGGGTTTTTACATATAATGGGGTTCGTGAGGAGTTCTGGGAACTTCCAATTCTCGTTACAATTACATCAACCCTCTATATAGGGTTGAACACTCTTGATTCGGGCCTTAAAGCTTACATACTCAGATCTAAGAAGACAAACATATACCTGACTATATGCAGGGGGTTGTCCACTTATGTTCTTCCTCGAACTGGGGGCTTCGAGTGAGTCAAGTTATTAGCAGTGTGCTTTCTCTTTCGGAATATCTCCTCACACATAGCAGAGAAATGGCGATATCAGGGGCCTTCCTCTACCTAACAATGCAAGGAAAATGTTGAAGTGTGATGTTGCCACTCTCTTCCCTCAGTCTCTCTCTCTTTATTGCGCCAAAGCTTAGTGTGGTGTGTGAAATCCCTAGGAAAAAATTCTTTCAATCAGTCCCCTTTTTTCATTGAAGAGCGGGGTTTAAATAGAGGTTGATGATGTCTATCCAAATCCTTAACCAAAACTAATCATCTCTCATGATAAGCGCATATCCTTGTTCAAACTTGAAAACACCTCCAGGTGATTTCAATAATAAGCTTTGTCCTTGTTTGAATTCAATCATGTCCCGATGCTTGAATTTGAACGTAAAACCATCAAGATTCATCACGATATTCTATGATAGAATCAAGAAAGGTGGTTATTCTGATCCATCGGCGGTCAAACTACAGAGCAGTTCTGACATGCCTGAGTGTTTTCATTGCCACTCTCTGATGACAAATCCTTTCATCATGAAATTTTGTAGTATGATAGAGGACTCAAAGATGAACACAATGGTCCAAACCTCACCTCAAACAGATCTTGGATGAGGAAGATATGGCTCGTCAAAGTTGACACATTTCTATTGCAGATTGCGACAGCAGATCTGAGGATTGTGAGCACATTCGCTCTCACCACAATGGATTATAGACCCTAGAGGTATGATAATTTTGTCGAGGGACTATGATACACACCTCCACAGAATTTGGGCTCAAGACTCATATATTAGAGAAATCAAGTAGCGATGGGCAAGCTTTTGCACAATTTTTATGGCTAATGTTGCAAAGTTTGCCACTTGCACATGAGAGATCCATAGGATGCATTCGGGGTAAAGACTCCATATATTGGGAGAAATCAAGCAGCAGTGGTCAAGCTTTTGCACAATTTTTATGGCGACTGT